AGGCTTCATGGTCAACGGTCAAACATGGGCAGATTGGTGTTATGTTTTCTGAAGGGGTTAAATTTTCAAATTAGTTTCAAATGAAGGTCAAATTGATAATTAATTATTAATTAAAGGTTATAAGGGTAAAAAAACGGTAAATGACACTTTGGCTGTCACACTTCAACATGTATCTGTCTTGCCTATGGATAATTTCAACTAGGAAGTTCTTCATCCACATAATTTCCTTATTTGCTTTTGTTGGTGCGATATACTTGGCTTCGATTGTTGATATGGCAATATATTTTTTGTTTTGATGGTCATGAAATGACTTTCCCTGCAAAGTTAATCAGGAGGCCTTGTCATTGACTTCCTTGAGTCAACATCTCCTTCTAGATTGGCATCCAAGTAGCTTTCTAACATCATATATATTCAATTAGTAATGTTAACTAACATGTCATTTGTAAAATAACTGGATGGTTATTTTTAGGGAAAAGTTCAAAAATTCCCTTATGGTTTACTCTTTTATTATTTATCCTTTATGCTTTTTTTCTCATCACTTACCTCTTTGTAGTTTTTTTGTAATCAAAATCAACCTTTTAACTCCATTAAAATTTAAACTAACTTGCTTATTTTACCGTTATTTTGCCTACATTAAAAGTATTAATCTATCATAAAAACCTTACATATAACGACCATCTTCTTTAATGGTACATCTTGTTTGTTTTTGTTTGTTCTCCTCAAGAAATTGATTATTTGAAGAAGATAATCAAGATATTTGTATAACACAAAAGGCAAAATAAGTGTGAACATCACAATATACAAAGTAATTATTCGACTGTCTGCCTTCACAATATAAGACAATAAGCTATCATCTTTGTTTTCATTGTTGGAAGAAATTGACTTTTTTTTTCGTTGTTGGAACAAAATTAACTTCGCAGAATTTTACAACTTTGAAGAGTATAATAATATATGAGTCCACTTCCTTCCAAACTAAGGGAGGGACTAACTATATGATGTGGATTGATGGACTCTTAAATACAAGGCAATTTGGTGCTTGTGGCCTAGATCTAATATGTCAGGGTAATAACTTTTTAAGTTGGTAAAATAGAGTAAAATTTACATGTTAATTTAATTATTAACTGTGTTAAAAGTGGATTTGGATGTAAAAAATAATAAATGAGATAAGTGATAAGAAAAAATAAGAAGCCACTAGGGTCTAGTGGTGAGAGTTTTGAGTAAATTTTTTTTTTTTTTTGGTAAATGGGTTTTGAGTAATTTATATTAAGTTATGTGTTGAATTCCTATCATTATATCCAAAAGAAAAAAAAGCTATAAGAGATTAAATGATAAAAGAATAAATTACCGAGTAATTTTTGAACTTTTCCCTTATTTTTATACACAAAACTAATCTGACTATTATAGTTTAGCTAATGGTGTGTATGTAATAATTCGTGTTTTTTGGGTTCAAATTATGGCACTCGACAATCATGTACGTTACATAGAATATTGTAAAATCAATTGAAATATAATTTATTATAAAAAATTTAAATTTTATTTCAAAAATATTTTATTTTCTATAAAAATGTTTTAATATCTAAATAAAAGTACTTTAGTATTTAAATCATAGAAATAAATATATACATCATACCTAGATGAACCTTTTTTATTACTATATTTAATTTTTTTTAATATTCCTATCTTAAGAGAATGAAAATTAGTAAAAATGCATATGAATATCTAAAGCACAACGATAAATATATATATCACTCAGTGATAAAAATTATATAAAATAATATTAATATATAAATTGTATGGATAAATACTTAAATAACTCGAGGATCGAAACTTAGTATTTACATGTAATAGCAATTTTACATGAAATCATATTAATATTTAAATTACAGGTATACGATCTTTACATATAAAAATGTGTATCCAAATTATAAAAAAATATTATATTAAAATACATAAATATTTAAATTATAAGAGTAAATATACATGAAAGCATAATAAAATCAATAGATGTTTTTATTACAAAATTATTAGACCAAATTATCTTCACTGAAAATATGAGGTTTTCTTAAAAATATTTATGTAAAATGCAGATAAAAAACCTATTCATGCATTTGATGAGCAACTTCAAAGTGGTAGGTTGTTTTTAAGTGTTTCTTTATATAGTGCATAATTTATATTTTATTATCATTTTCATTACTTATAAGTGAAGGTGATCATGTATGATAATATCATTTTGATAATCTTTTGCATCAATAATTGTCACTTGATAAAATTATTTGATATAAAAATACTATCTTATTATCATAAAAAAATTTCTCTTAAATAATCTTAATGTTCATTTTAAGCATTTTTTAAACATACAGAATTGTATTGTGTTTTGTTTTGATAATTATACTCTTAATGATTCTCAAAATCTCTTATTTAGTTATCTTTCCGCAAAAAGAAAAATGAAACTTGAAAATAGGAAACGAAATGTGGACCCCCAGATTCATAAGAAGCGTGAGCAATTCACTTTTTCCCTTTTTCGATTTGGGTGTGCTTAAAATAATAATGATCCTCCTAATTTCCTTTTTTTCGTTACGCTGCTCGCCCAAGAATATCCCTGTTATGGGAATCTAAGGGAAAGAAAAGAAAACAACAGATTTAAAAAGATTTTTCCGTAATTAGTGGCTACAAGCAACTGTTCGATTTTGTATTCTAAGGATAACTTTATCCCAACGCTTGATTAGATGCTCTTGCACTCCCACCATCAATGCAAGTTACATTCTCAAGGACGAAAACGCCCTTGCATACAAACTAGTGCGCTTTTTTTTTTTTTTTTGATGCTTAGAGTTAGAGGCTATAGAACGACAACTGAAAATTATGTTTTTTTTTGTTTTTTATTTTATTTTATTTTTACTTGTTTGTTTGACACCGCTTCTGTTTTTGCGTTTTGGGGTCTCAACAGGAAATTTTCCCAAATGAGAAAAGTGAGAGCATGTGAAGAAGGGACTTTCGTCTCAACTTTAATGAGAGACAAATAAGAACAATCAGATAATTACGAATCACCATATTTTTTATGAGAGACGCCCATTTGTCACACTCGAAACTTCATATTCTTGCTTCTGTCTCACGAATGAATTTGATTCAGTGAACAAGAAAAAGGAGATTTTAGCCTCAAGCTCGCACTTTATTAAAGTATGTGAAAGAAAACCCACCTAGACCCCCACGTTGTTAGGGACAGTGATTAAAGTGTCATGCTTGGACAAAAAAATTATCAGACTACCATACCAACAGTAAATTTTGCCAAAATGCCACGCGGCATAATTCGCTACACTGTGTAGCGAATTATGCATGCAAGTAATTCGCTACACTGTGTAGCGAAATATGCCACGTCAGAATGCACAGAACAAAAAATGCCACATGTCAAATTTTGAGAAATTTGCTATATAGGGTAGCGAATTTCTCAAAATTTGACATTTGGCATTTTTGGTTCTGACATGGCATATTTCGCTACATTGTGTAGCGAATTACTTTCATGTATAATTCGCTACACTGTGTAGCGAATTATGCCGCGTGACATTTTGGCAAAATTTACTGTTAGCGTGACAGTTTAGTAATTTTTTTTGTCCAAATGTGACAAAATGGTCACTGTTCCATCTTGTTACCATTCGTTAATTAGAACAAAAATATTGTGATTTTCAAAAAAATATATTAAAATATGATCAAAATACATGGATCGAAGGAAAATATATAATTGCGTTGAAATTTTTATAATGATAGCTATGCAGTTCTTATCCAGTCTAACTCAAATTAAATTAATTCGATAATTAATGAATTCATGGGAAATAAAAAAAAAATTCATTAATTATCCAATTAATTTTGTTTGAGCTTTTGTTTGATCCCTTTGAGGGAAATTCTACCAAAACTATTTTCTTCGTTTCAGGACACAAACTCTAAACTTGTGATTAAGAAAGAGAAACTGCACACCACTTAAGCAATGGTTGTTAGTTGATATAATGCATTTCTGTTTGCTCACTCCTGACAAGATCGCATTGCATGGGACTTTTGTTATGTTGTATGGAACGCTTTCTTCTTGATTAGTTAGAGTCGCGGAGATAGCAGAAACTATGAATATAGTATACAATTTGTAACGTTGATGCATTAATGAAAAGTTAATATTAATATTAAAGATAATTTATTATTTCTTACAAATAATTAGTATTTTGCGTAGATTAACATATAATTGTAAAACTCACCAACAAAAAGTTACTAAACCAAATTGATGGGAGAAGTGCGAGGAAAATGTGCCATAACTAGCATATATAAAGAAGAGTTTTATTTTTTTAATGTTGCATGAGATAATTTGTCTCATGCAACACACACAAAAATGAGTGAGACCTATTAAGAAAGAGAAAAAGAAGAAGAAAAATAGTGAGTCTCGTCCACTTCTGTGTGTATTACATGAGATAAATTATCCCATTGCAACATGAGAAACACGTTACCCTATAAAGAATATCCATTCATGTGACTACTCAGCAATTTTACTTACTTTTATATGAAAGGGCATGTTATCACGTGGGATAACATCATGTTACATAGAAATTTATAGAATAGTGTTTTATTTTTTCTAAAAGAACTATTCTAGTTTTTAGCCCTTATTAATCATCTGCTAGCGCTTACCTTTAACAACCGACATGTGGCGGTACATCCGGTGCACGTGCATCCCAACCATGATTAAAAAGACGATGGAAATTTTTTTTTTATTAAGAGGCGGTATTTGATTCAAAACTCAGGAACACAAAAATAATTTACGCGTATCACACAAACATAAAAAAAAAAAAAAAAATTATAGTAGAGAGTCAAAGAGAGAGAATGTAAATAATAATTAAAAAATTTAAAAAATGAAAACTTGAAAGAAAAAGAATACGAACGGTTTCGTGGAGCTTGCTTTGTTTAAAACAGAAGAGTAGTAGTAGCTTGGCGTCTACTGCTACTGATGTGTCTGTCTGTACCTCTACTTTTGTACTACTACTTATTCCATTCAAAACTATACCCAACCAGAGAAAAATAGTAAATCACAAAAAGCAAAGAATCTTCGAGATCGGAGGGTCACGGTGGTCATTTCGAGAGTAAACTGGAGATGAACATTAACATACCAAGAGGCAAGAAATCCCACAGCACACAACAAACAACCTCGTTGTCCCCTTTTTGAGTTCCAATTTTTGTTGTTGTACTTTGTTGTTGTGTTGAAAGCCTAAAAAGTGAAAAAAGAAAAAAGAGGCTGAAGAAGAGTAATCAGCGTTGAAGAGCGTGCTGCATTATTATTATTATTATTATTATTATTATTATTATTATTATTGTCGTTGTTGTTGATCGGTAAATGGAGAGAAGAACTCCGGTGAGGAAGCCTTATACTTCTTCTACTGCAGATCTTCTTACTTGGTCTGAAACTCCACTCTCTGATTCTCAACCTCCTGCTTCTGCCCCTCGTTCTCACCAGGTAACCATATTCATTCTCCTCTTCCTGTTTTTCTTTTTTCTTCTTTATATAAAAAGATTGTTTTTTGCATTCCTGAACCATTTTGTTTTTTGTTTCTTACGTTGATGATTGAAAATTTTGTCTTTTTTGTTTGGGGTTGTTTCCTTTGTGTTGGTGGTGGAATGTCAGCCGTCGGATGGGATCACCAAGGTCGTGTTTGGGGGTCAGGTCACTGATGAAGAGGTCGAGAGCTTAAACAAACGGTGAGATCTACTGCTGCCCCATTATTTTTTTATTTTAGCTTGAAAGTATTTTACGTTATGTTCTCTCTTCCTAAAATCTATAATTAATTTATGGCGATTTTAATTCTTCATACTTGCTTTTTTTTTTCCTTTTCTTTTTAATTATTATTTTTTTCTTTCACAATTCAATCAAAATCTGTGTGTGTAATGTTTTTACTTTTTTGTCTTTGGGCTAATATATAAAGTATTTAACTAACGACAACAATTTCAGCTCCCTTTCTCTGTGACAGTTTGACGTGCTCTCTAGTGGTCCTTGCTTATCTATTAATACCATAATAGAAAGTGATTAATGGGTCAAATCACGAATGGACTGCATGAGTTGTTGAACTTGGATGAATGACTCTTAACATTTATACCATATGCATCCTTCCTTGTTTTCGTTCTTGTTCTTCCTGATTTCTGTCTTTCAGAAACAAATTTGATTTCAAATTTTAGATAATGAAGTGGTCAAATTTGATACTTCAGTCTCTGTCAATTACATGTTATGCATACCTACGTACGACACCTTCTTAGCACTGATGTAGGCTTCTGCTTGTGCATGTGTATTCTCTCATTTTGTGCTATTAGTATATCTTCTAGCTTTTGTGAAAATGGCATATCACTGCCATCTGTTATGTTATATCTGGGAATGCAGAAACACTTCTTCTCCAGGGAAGGAAGGATTGCTATTCGTGAGCATGAAAAAAGTATAAAATAAAAGGAAGTATCACTGCGAGTGAAGGGGTAGAATATTTGGAAAGTTGCTTTCCTCAATTATTTGTTACCTTGTGGTTTTTGGTGTCATGTTACATGTGATTCCAAACGAGTAGGATATGAATTCAATATTAGAATTTGAATTTTGTTATGAACTAAAGCTTTATCGTACCTATTTATCTTACATAATTAGATCATTTTAATCTGTGATTTTATATACGGCATCTGAAATTGTCTAGCTATGAAATTTCCAGAAAGCCTTGTTCAGATCATAAAATGAAGGAGATCACTGGGAGTGGAATCTTTGCTGCTAATGGAGAAGATGACACTACAGAAGTTGGCAGTGTCAAAACTCCCCCAAACAAAACAGGGCTACGCATGTACCAGGTTTAAATGGATATCTGTGGTCTGGAATTGTATATGAACATGGATTTTTACATCCTGTATTGATTTGTGTTTTGTAATGGGTCTCTCCTAACTTGTATTATGATTTTTTTATTGTTCCAAATTTGTAGCAAGCGGTTGCAGGAATCAGTCATATCTCTTTCAGTGAGGAGGAGAGTGTTTCTCCTAAAACGCCAACCACTTTGCCTGAGGTTGCCAAGCAGCGGGAGCTAAGTGGAACACTGGAAAGCGAAGATTGTAAGATAAAGAAACAGCTTTCTGATGCAAAGTGCAGGGAGCTTAGTGGTCATGACATATTTGCTCCCGCACCAGAAATTAAACCCCGGGCGGTAACTCCTCGCATACACGAGTTAAAAGGGAGCATAGACATTGGAGAACCTGCTGCACTACATGTATGCACTGCTCTAAATTGCTAACCCAAATTATTTAGGTGAATATTTTTCAAATTTTGATCTCTCTCTTTCCCCTGCACACACACTCGCACACCCACAAATACAACAATATTTGGGTTGTACTCCAATTACCTCTGTGGGAAAACATCATATAGGACTTTGTCTAGACAAACATGTTTGAGTGCAATAATTTGACAAGAAAGGAAATTGAACATATTGCATCATAGAATTAATCATGCAAATTGTGGACATCATAATTTGGGAACCTTGAGATGTACTTTCCGAATACAAATTTGTGGGTATTTGACCACAAAAAAAAAATGTACTGCAGGAAATCTAAAAGTTCTTGTGTGTACTGCATTATGCATATGGGTTGTTTTACGTAGCGTCTGTGAGATTAATCTTTGTGCATTTTAAGTTTTAAAGTTGCTTGTTTTTGGTTTATAGACTGATGGAGATCAAGGCATTATTAAGTCCACTGAGGAACCAGTTATGAAGACAGCAAAGAAGATTTATGACCAGAAATTTGTAGAACTTTCAGGAAATAACATATTCAAGGGTGAAGCTCCAAATTCCTCTGCTGAGAAATCATTAAGTGGGGCTAAACTGCGAGAGATGAGTGGCAGTAACATCTTTGCTGATGGGAAGGTAGAATCCAGAGAATACCTAGGTGGCATACGGAAGCCACCCGGTGGCGAGAGCAGCATTGCCTTGGTGTAACTTAGGTTTAACAGAACTGTTGTCATTACTGTCTTGTTTTGTTTAATTAATTTTTAATGGGATGTGCTATGTTATTTGACTTTGTATTCTGAGCTTTTGGGAATTCATATTTTAGGTTTCTTAACCAAAAGGGACCATCTGCTAATTGGTTGTACGTCCATAATCCTGTGTGGACTTCAGTGTTTGCTTTATTGAGGTGATTTGTTCTGTTTACCTGATTTGATATTTTGTTAATTGCTCTACATTCTGCATCTCATTGAATTGACTTACGGAAACCCAAAATCCTCTCGTTTAATTGATAACACGCGTGTAATTAAGCATCTCATTCACAACTTTCATTATTGAATCTTGATTCATCATCGCGTTAAACTGGTAACCCTTGTTCTTTCGAGTAGCCACAATAACAAACGCAAGAACACCAAGAAGTCCAATCAAGGCAGTAACCACTGAGGTACCTAGACAAACTGTAAGCCACAACATACAGGGGCTATTTGTGACGCGACCCTGCCCCTTAACGCACCTCATTTTAAGTGCAATCTTGCTTCATTCACGCCCATTTGGGGCGCAACTAGTTCTGCTCAAATTGGGGAGCAACCCAATCGCCCTAAAGCGCTTGATTTTGGGCGCGATTAGTCTCGTCCCATTTGAAGCACGACTAGTTGCTCGCAGACTGGTAAATATGTTTCAAATTGCAACAAAACATCTTTTTTTTTTGCCAATGTGCATGATAAAGTGTTTATTTTGTTTATTTTCATGGAAAATTGGCTTGGCCTTTTAATGGATTTGGAGTCTAGATGGTTGTACAAAATTATCCTTTTCTAAAACTGGGAAAAGGGCGGGGAAATGGGTTCATGAATATCCCGTCACTCCATCAACGTAGATTTTTTATGCGAAGTGTGATTAAATATTAGCTCCCGAATTTCCTGTATGATTAACTAGCAATATCTTTACTGATAAAGAAAAGAAATGAAACAAGGTGACTAATGAATCCTCAATATTAAGGCGTGCTTTTAAAAAGTTTAATCTCAATTTTAAAATAAAAATAAAAATTAAAGGATCAACCCGTACACATGTATTATTCAATAATGATTGTGCAGAAGGAAAAAAGAAAAAGAAAAAGAATCCCAACCCCAAGGATACGCTCTGCTCAATATGCCGCACCCCTAGTCGAGTGCCCTTGCGCACACTATCATTGACAGTGACATTATCCTAGCATATCAGCAACAATTATGTCCCTATATATGTTCTACTTCAAATGCAACTAGCTGTGAATTATCCATTTTACCCTTCACATGCTGCATTGTATTTGTAGGCAGACTATTTGTGCTAAACTTTCATCGTTGCATTGAAATGGTTCAAAATCAAACAAAATTTGACAGTCTATTGCAAGTAGGTCTTCTCATATACACTGAATTTTTAACCGCGTTCATAATGGATATGATTGCAGTCTTGGGTTGGGGATTTTGAATAAGGTAAAGTTCTGTTTTATGGATGACAAGATGTTCAAAATGAGGTTTAAGAATCTATTTGTAAATGAATTTGAATGAATCCATATATTTGAAGGAGCTCGGTGAAAGAAACATCAATCAAAGTATACCATGATTAACCAGCAGCATATTTAATGAAATAGTTCCTGAGTCTCTTGGAACTAAGTTTTCCCTTCATAGAACGGGATATTTTTTTTAATAAGTCTGTCTTATTTATTTTAATAAAGGTTCACCTTTTTTTTTATTTTTTTTAGAGAAAAAAACTAGAACTAGCCAATAACACATGTATTACTATTAAGGGCAAGTTATATTTACAAACTTTTTTGTTTACAAACTACACTATGTAAGACCGGTCTTACATTAATCACACAGTGTACGACCGGTCCTACATTAGTGTAATTACAAAAAAAGTTTGTAAACGTATCATGTCCTTTACTATTAATCTATTATTATCGAACTGTATGTGTACGGGAAATAGGTCTGTTTTTCTCTTGGATAAAGTATATCGATATAACAATGATTTAGTAAGATAAAAGTATGAATTTAAGCTAAAAAATGAGAGACAACGTAAGTGGGTTTCCCGTGAAGGCTGAGAATCAAGAGAGAATGTTGGGTACAGTGGCACTTGAGTCTATATTTCAGCAACATAATAATAAGGTGATTATGTGTGCAAAATGCATAGTTTCAATGGCAAAAGAGAGATATATATAAGTGGGGAAGATTTTCCAATGATATATGTGAGAGAGAGTTATAATTGTTTCTGCTCTTGTGAGCCCATTAAACGTGAGACAAATTTCGGCATGAGATGCGTATACAGTCAAGTGAAATTCAATATGATGCGATAATATTTGTTTCACTTTAAAAATATAGGAATATAACCCCTTATATAAATCTTAATAGATAGTCTATTGAAATGAGTTTGAGTGGTCAGTCTATAACAATTATTATTATTAATCCAAGGCAAATGTTAATGCTAGAATTTGAGATTATTCAATAAGCATTGTCCAACATATGCATAAAAAAAGGGGTTTATTAGTGGCAAGTAACTGTAAAACCAAATTTGGTTCCTGCATACTCATTCTAAACGGGACCCACTAGGTGAAAAGAAAAAAAACAAAAAAAGAAAGAAGAGATCACTTACCGATGTGAGAGCGGGAAATAACATAATTTTGCTGTTACTTGATACCAGTGTTTTAAAACCTCACCCCGCCTCCCGGGTTGACCCGGGTCAATCTTGACCCTCCCCTTTGACGGCTGAGGTCACAAGTTAGACTCTATATGCATATCGACCCCCAAAATTCGACCGAGTTTCAGTGACTCCCGGATAAGAGGGGTCGCTGCATGTTTTTTTTTTTTTTTTTTTTAAAAAAAATCCATTAAATAATATCACTTTATTAAAAAAAATAAAATAAAAATGTTTGCAAACCTAAATCTAATCGTTATCTTCTCTCCTAGCGACCTAGACGTCTCTTTAATATTCACCTCGCTGCCGTGAATCTTTCAGAAAAGGTAAGAATTTTACCCATTCAAATGAAATCCTTACGGTCGTTGACGGAAATTAAACAAAATCTCATTCTTACTTGCTTTAAATTTTTCTTTGTCAGGGAACTTCTCAAAAGAGACAGAACCGGGTCAACGTAGTGACCTCATTAGAATATGAGTTTTGTATTTTGGTATCTTGATACTTTAATAGGTTGTGTAATATTGACTTGTGATTGTAATTGGTGAATTATGTTAAGTATATTTTGAATCATTGATGATTGGTGGTTTGTTTTTTAATATTTTAATATAGGATATATATATTTTTTATTTTTTTAATATATAAAACCGGGTCAGCGTAATGACCCCATGACCCCTCGGTTGAACCCGTGATCTCGTGACTCCTGACTTCGGCTGGGTCGATGGCTGGGCTAGATTTTTAAACACCGTTTGATCCAAATAAAACCCATAAAAAAAAGGTTCAATTCCTGATAATCGAAACTCTTAGAAATAATGGAGAGGTTTAAACACAAAGTCGAATAAATTAAATCTCTTAAAGCTTTATACACCGATTGATATAAAAAATAAAATAAAAATAAATCCCAACTCTAAAGACACATTTCTTAGTATAGAGTTTTGTTTTACGTGTGATGTGACTGAATGAGGAGTGTGAAAATTATGTCTACCTTTTTTTTTATTGTTATTAAATCGACGAGACATAAATATTTTACATGAAATTAGTCATGTAAAAATTTAGCATGAAAATATAATTTTCTATCATATATACCCATATACCCACTACACTAGCCCCTCAAGAGAGTGTAGGTGGAAACAGCTCAATTGAGTAGCTATTGCAGAATTGTAGTGATTTGCAAATTTGCAACAGGTTTGCACCATATGCCACATGCCAAGTGGAGTGCGCCTTGCGCGCTTTACCAGAAACAGTAGCATCATCATCAGATACAAATCCGCATTTCATTCCTATGACCGTATCAGCTTTTATGTTTCCCTACGTACTATCGCTAAAGCAATTTGCCACATTATCCATTTTACCCTTCATATGGTGCGGTGTGAGGAGACTATTTGTGCCAATCTTCTGTCCTGTTGAAATGGTCTAAACAAAATTAAATATTATTTTGCAAATAGCTCTTTTCATATACACGAAAATTCCACTTAACCAACAACAACAAAAAAGTTGGTAACTGAGTTCCGTTTGAGTCTGGGTTCAAATCCTGTTTCAATTAAATTTTTGAAAAATTTTTGGAGACCAGAGGATGTGCCTTCCTCTTCGATTGAGGATTAGTCTCATCCTCCATTCGGTAGCGAAACTCAATGCACCCGCTGTTTCAATGAGGGACTATCCTACAGGATCGTATCCCGAAGACAAGGTGACCGGAGGAGGTTGAATGAGAATACCTCCAGATTATACAAAAAAAAAAAAAAAAAAAATTTCAGCTTAGACAAAATTTCGAATTTTGATACAATTAATAAGGTTAGGTTAGATGTTCAATATTAAATATTTAACATAATTAATAGTAACTATTTTTTTTTTTTTTGTCTTGTTTAACAAATTCTCCACATACTTAAGAAAAAAACATATTAAGAAATCATTAGTATCACTTTTAATTGATAAATATCTATTATTTTTTATAACCACTTATCCAGATTTTTTTTTTCCTTAACTTTTTTCACAAATCCAGATACCATTTTTTATATTTCAAATGGTTGAATTTTCCTTAACAAACAGAATCCCTTAGCGATGCAGATGCAGCATATCCTGCTCTGCTCTGAAAAGTGGGCAAGGTAGGTTATAGTCTTGATTTTGGGTGAGCCGTTACAAGTTGTACAACGCTGGTGGCAAACCCACGAGTATCAACATAAAAAATCCCCTATATGATTATGATATTCTGTTGATCCTTTTCTTTCTCACAAAACAGAAATTATCGGATAACAGATTCAAAAGGCAATGCACGCACCACACTACTAGTCTAGTACATAACCGACCACCTCTGACACTTGTCGACACAAACCATTCCTAGAGTTTTCAATTCTTCTGTTTTCAATTCTTCTGTCACCTTATTTTGCCACTCTCGATTTTTTATCTCTAGCCTTTGCTGTGTCTCTCAAATTTGAATCCCTTTTCTTCTTCTTCTTCGTTGTTTATATTGTTCAAAATGAACGCGATGAGAAACGAAGAGCTACGGACGTGGTTTAACAGGATTCCAAATCCTAATGCACCAGCACCACCGTATCCCAATCTTCACCATGGTCACGTGGTCTCTCTCACGTCACAATCTTATCCTTCGAGTCCTTTTTCCAATGGGTTTCGTTTGCACGGGGATAAGAGTAAGAGTACTATGGATGATAATGATGATGAAATTTATGTGCGATTGTCTAAGGAATTTTCTGGAATGAATATTTTGGATGAACATGCGCATGCTGCCAAAACCAGGGGATCATATGATGTTTTGGACTCACCATACTCGTATACATATACACCTTGTTCTTTGGATGCACATGCTCCTGAAGAAACAGGTACCCTATCATATCAACAACACACCCCATCATCTATTTTTGGACCCCCAATGGAGTCTTCTCTCAACCATGGGAGGAGTACTTGTTATGGACAAATTCAACTGCAGAAGCCCCCTTTTGCTTCTTCTTACTCTGGTGATCGTTTTCTGTGCTCACAGAGGGAGTCTTTTGGAATGGATCGTGATACATGCTGGGATGTCAAGAGTCCCTTCGCATTCTCTCAAACCATGCAACCCAAGGTTGCTTTGAATCTAAACACTCCATCATCACATTATTTCTCTGCAACAAAAGAAAGGGCAAGGGAAGCTGCCAATGATGAACTTTCCCAACGTCTCTCTCCCAGGAGAACCGGAGGGGACCCTGTGGCGTTTAAATGTGATAATAGTTTTATTATACAAGAGAAAGATATAAGATGTTGTGCTAACAATAGGTGCAATTCTTTGTGGGGTTGCAAAAATAATTCCCACCATGAGGTTGCAATTCAAGTTGTGAGTGATGAAGTTCCTAAACTCATTTCTCATGTTCCTGCTAGTCATGTGAGTAATAGCACTCTTGCAAGTAATTCCCCACAGCCCATGCTGCACAATTTTTGTTCTTGGGCTGATGTCCAAGGTTACATGTGTCACCTGGCAAAGGATCAGAATGGTTGTCGCTTCCTACAGAGGATGGTTGATGAGGGAACCTCTAAAGATGTGCGAATAGTGTTTAAGGGAGTCATAGAAAATGTTGTTGAACTTATGATGGACCCTTTTGGGAATTATCTTGTGCAAAAGTTGCTGGATGTATGCAGAGAAGATCAAAGACTGCAGATTGTGCTAATGTTGACCAAAGAACCAGGGCTGCTAGTCAGAACCTCTTTAAACCTACACGGGTATATCCTCCAGTTCAACTAAAAAATTGTTCCTTTTATTAATAGGACAATGCACATTATTTTCTTTTTGGAACACTAATTTAATAGTATTGCTGTATCAGCACTCGCGTGGTTCAGAAGTTGATTGGGACACTGAACTCTAGAAAGCAAATTTCATTAGTGAGGTCCGCCATTCAACCTGGTTTTCTGGATCTTATTAAGGATCTGAATGGAAATCATGTCATACAACGTTGCTTGCAATGCTTTAGCTGTGAAGATAATGAGGTATAACACTTCTCTCTTTTACCTTCAGTATCTCTTTTTTTAACTTTTGTTACTTTTAATGTGAACCAGTATTGGTGGTTCTTGTACACTTAATTGAATACTATGATGTCAACATATTGCAATGCAGTCAACAAAGGCAAGATAAACTATATTGTTAGTAGCATTCCTTATTACACATTTGTGGTCAAGTGTATTCCTTTGGCAACATTTCCTAGATATGTTATGCTTAACTATGAAGCACCGATATTCCTTAAAAAAAACTTCAACGTATCGGATACGCATATCGAAAATGTATCGGACACGTATTGTATGGTAATCGACATCCTGTATCATCGAGAACATATCGAAAACGTATCGGTGCTTCATAGATGCTTAAGAGTTGTGACCTTGTTATATGATCACGATATCAACCTCGAGCTCACATTGCCTGGCATGAAATATATTTTTGGAGAAGTGTCTCAAATCTTTCAATATGTTGAACCTTTGTTGCTAGTATGATAGTCTCCGAATCTAAGTTATATATTCTACTTCAAAATATCACGATTAGAGTTTACGAATCATGTTTTCAAAAAAAAAAAAAAGAGTTTACGAATCATAATGGTATTACATACCATATGACATCATAATTCTGTTAATTTTCAAATTTAGTTTCATTATTCAATACTTCCCAATTTGATCAATGCCTCGATTCTAGGATTTGCATATTCATATAACCTATGTCTATCACTGGTCACTTCAGAAATTATTAAAAGGTAAGTCAGCTGTCAAACAAAGTTCACCATCTATTGAGGATGTTCTTTATGAAGAACATAATGGTGAAACCATTCTCTACCAGGCCTGAATATTTTCTTCATTTTCTCCCCCCTGGCAAAGCTTAAAAGGCTAATTCTCTACATTAAAAGAAGCAATGGTGATTAATGTTTTGCTTGAGAAAGTGTTGATGATTACCATTGGAACGGGGCTGAAAATGTTAACAGTTATAGCTGCGGGTGATTATTTTCATTTCACCTTGCAGTTTTCATTTTGTGCATGCCATTAATCTTTTGAAGTGTTTGATTTATATTGCCAGTTTACCACTAAGATGACTCTGTTTTATTTGTTAATTAATGATGAGGATAGAGTAATGCACTCTGAGATCCTCAATGATAAAATATTATGAAAAGATATCCTGAATTCTTAATCGAGTTCACACAATGGATATGATTGCAGTCTTGAGGATTTTGAATTTGGTAGAGTTCTGGCAAACAACCTTGTAAGATGCTGCTCAAAATGAGATTTAAGAATCTATTTGTAAATGAATTTGAATGAAATCTTTAAATTTGAAGTAGCTAGCCGAGAGAAATTTGCCTTAATATTTGCTGATTTGCTCCCTTATCTCCTTTATATTGGACTTACTATTTCAAAGTTTTCTAGCATTGTACTTTTATATTGGAATTCCAAATTTCTCAAGCCTGCACGTGGCTTAACATCTGATCTGTTTTCTCTTGGACCTGCTCATTTTGACAGAAACTAAGTATGAAGTTTCTTCATTCTTTCTTCCCTCTATCATTTCTGGCAGTTTATTTTTGAGGCTGCTGCAAAGTTTTGTGTTGATATAGCTACTCATCAGCATGGGTGTTGTGTACTACAACGTTGCGTTGATTATGCAATGGTAAAGTATCAAGATAGGCTGCTCAAAGAAATATGCAGACATGGGCTTTTCCTAGCTCAAGATCCATTTGGGTAATCTGCCTTTGATCTTGTACCCGTAAATATATACTGTTTGCTTTTTTTATATTTCCTCAAAGAAACCAAGTGATACATTCAATTTGTTATCTTTCAGAAATTATGTTGTTCAGTATATTATTGAGATGGAGAACCCAAGTGCCTCAACCAAACTAATTTCTCAGTTCAAAGGGAACTATGTAAACCTCTCCATGCAAAAATTTAGCAGTCACGTGGTTGAAAAATGTCTCAAGCATGTTGGAGAGAGCAGATCGAGGATAGTCCGAGAATTGCTGTCTGTTGCTCACTTTGAGCAGTTGCTGCAAGACCCATATGCCAACTATGTTGTTCAACGTGCCCTCGGAGTGACCAAGGTTTGAAACTTTATACATATGTGTTGAGATATATAGTCTCACATTGGTTGTATGAGCAACTAATGTGGAGTTTATAAGGCCTTGAGCACTCCACCCTTTGAGCTAGCTTTTGAGGTGGTGTATCCCAAGATTCTTTATCTGGTATCAGAGTCTCGCCGTCCCCCGCTTTCTCTTGTGGAATTTCTTAGCACAGATAGACTGGCATGTTGCATCATCTACTCTTCAAGCCCAATGGGCTCTCGTGTGAGGGGGCGTGTTGAGATATATAGTCCCACATTGGTTGTATGAGCAACTAATGTGAAGTTGAATAAGGCCTTGGGCACTCCCACCCTTTGAGCTAGCTTCATACAACTAATGTGGAGTTTAATAAGGCTTTGGGTACTCCCACCCTTTGAACTAGCTTTTGAGGTGGTGTATCCCGAGATTCTTTATAATATGTATAGCTCTGCAATTTAGCATGCTTTGTTACTCATTTCAGGATTGCGATGCTTCCTCTCTTATCCCTTTTATTCTGAAACAGGGCACTCTGCATGCGTCTTTGGTTGAAGCAGTTCGCCCCCACAAAATCTTGCGCACAAGCCCATATTGCAAGAAGATTTTCTCACGAAATGTGCTTAAGAAGTGATGTTTGACATGCAGACAAATTATGTTGTTGTTCTCATAGTGAGTTACTACTATTCTCCTAATTAAACTCCTTTTGTTTTATGGCTAACTTAGCTACTAGTATATGTTGTATGTAAGTGTGTCCTCCAGAATCTGAGACTAATATAACGAAAACACATCTAGCCTCTATCCCTCGTGATCCAGAGTCTAAAAGTTCCAAAGGCAAGTTTTGTTTTCCAGATGCTTATGATGCAGCTGTATCTTGTATCATTTTGTTGTCCTATGGATGTGTGACTGGAATTTTGATAGATTCCTACTTTCTGCAAAATTTATCATATGGAGGTGAGAGGTTTGTCTTATGTTTGAATATCCAACAATAGGTGTAATGGAATAGAAAATGATGCAATGGTTTAAATGGAATGGAATCAAATTATGGCACTATTGTTTGAATATTTTTTATGGAATAGAATGAAATTTCTATTTCATTGTTGGAGAAGCAAGTGATTACATTTCATTTTCTTCTATAATCTTATCATCGTATATGTTTATATTTCCTTTAATCCCAAAATAATATTTTAACCAAAAACTCTCTTCACCATATTTTGATTATATACACTGATGAGTGATGTTTTCATTAAACTTAAAGAAAAATGTATGATTGTTGAAATACTTCCGTACATTAACTTTTTTTACGTTAACAAACAGCGTAACAATGAGGAATTTGAATCTCTTTTAGTCGCCTTTTTAATTGTTATAATAATTATCATCACAATTTCTCTACTCATGTTTCTGAAATTATTATAAGTTGGGAAATCAATACCTTTATGATTATTTAATAATTATTCTTTTATATTTTTAGTTTTGGCTGTTGGGTTTAATTGAGATTAATTGCTAATATAATTATTTTACATTATCAATTAATTATATATCGTTATATCATTAATTTTTTTAACTATATTAATAACTATGCAGAAAGTCATATACTTCAAAGGATTTAGTAACAAAAATTGAATAACAAAACAAAACAAAAATTTATACATTAACGTTCTATCAAAGTTAAATTCGTGGTTGTTCAAGGTCGAATGTACAATTTCCTAGTTCCAAGGCGAAAACAAAATCAAAAGACTGGATTGCTTCGCTTCACTAAACTTTATGAATGAAATAATATCGAAAGAGAGTTGGGGGCACTTGGGTTAAAGTTCTTGAGCCATTATCTTTATATTTATTTATGGAAAACATATAACTCACAATAACACAAACCATAGCTTAGAGAAAATCCTATATCTAAAAATGTTCAAAAACCTTACAGGGAATTCCAAGTGTAGATTGAAAAGATGTTTGCATGATCGGAAAAATAACATGCAGGAGAGTTCAGGTGACAAACACAACCACGTTGTCTATATATTTAACTTAGGAAATCTAAATCACACATATGTTGCAGCCTTGCAGGATTCCAAGTATATGGCCCTCAATCAATTCTGAGGATTTCAAAACCCACCCGAGCTAATGTTGTCAATTATTCAACATAATGTTGTCTATTATGTTGTGTATTATTTCAAAAACACATGAAACCATCAAACCAGCACGCCATAGTAGTTCTGTTATAAGCATAACCATACACACACAAAGGAATAAATCAAGCATCATCATGTCCTAACAGTGCCAAAAGCATTTTTTCATAGTCACCGGTTGTGTCCTTGGCAATGGCTCGTTCAAGAGGTACACTGTTCCTCCTTTGATACTCATCTGCTATAATTTTCAAATCAACCTCCGCCCTTGTGGCCACCACTCTTGTAAGGGCTCCTTCATCTGTCCCTCGCTTGTTGATAGCCAAACGAACAATCTTCTCAAAGTACTTCTCAGGACGGATCAAGCACTTGACAGTGGCTCTCAGTAAAGCCAGGAACTCATCCTTGGGATCAGCTTTCAGGTCCTGCAACATTGGCTCACAAAATTAAGTTCAATCTAATCAGTTTCCATTAAACTAAAATTGGGTGCTGTTATAACTCCTAAGGCTAATTGAGCTGTGGCGTGAGCAAGTCAAATACATAGGTTCTTTTTTTTGGTTGCAAATACATAGGTTCTTTAAGTGTCACAAAAGTAAGATGAAAGGATGCAATTTAGGTAGCATCTAATGATTTGAAAGAAATATAAGATGAACTATTTACCTTGTTGATATCTTTTCCAAATTCATTTTTGTAGTGATTCAAAGTAGCATTAATCTGGGCTTTGCTCCTTGTGGCCAAAATCCTAATGAGGTCGTCATCATTATAAGCCTTCTTTGAAATCTTCTCGTGCAGTAATTTTGCCTCAGTTTTTGCAAGAGTCATGTTGACCTCATCTCCTTCATATCGATAAGAACTAACCAGAGGTAGTAGGTGTAACATCCCCGTCTCGAGCCGGTTCAATTAACATACATATGATACAAACAGAAACAGCGGAAGACTTAACTTACGAAAATACGAACTAACTTTTTCTTTTTCTTTAATCCTTTTTCACATGACATATCACATTGCATACTTCTTCTAATTTAATTCTTATTTTACAGAGACGAAAATCGGACAGAGTAACCTCTGTAAATCGGACAACTGGGGATTTTCCAATCCCACACTCAAGAGTTCCTGATAGACAGTTTAAACAATATATATTTCCAGAAGTACCAATCATGCAAATATACTCAGATACCCATCTATGGGCGCATGCTGAACTTGGCTCCGTGCCACAAATCTAATAGTGTAACATCCCCGTCTCGAGCCGGTTCAATTAACATACACATGATATAAACAGAAACAGCGGAAGACTTAACTTCTGAAAATACGAGCTAACTTTTTCTTTTTCCTTTTTAAATTCTCATTCGTCGTAAACGAAAATCGGGCAGAGTTTCCTCTACAAATCGGACAACTGGGGATTTTCCAATCCCTCACAGAAGCATTTCCTGATAAACAGTTTATACAAATATGATCAAATGCCCATCCATGGGCGCATGCATAACTTGGCACAGTGCCACTATATCTAACAGCATGCAATCCAACACGTAAACATATCTGAATACTACCTCATCATATAACGTGCCTGAATACCCAAATGTACATGCATCAAAGCGACAGACATGTACAAAACATATACAGGCCATATACACAATAAAGGATCAATATCATGATCCATCAAATGCGAAAATACTAAAATACATCAAACACTCCAAAAAGGTAGTAGCCTACAGCCACTCAAAATCCAATCTGTCAACTGCCTCAGCCACGTGTCGTGTCCCTGCCTAGTGAGGACTCACCGGGAATCTGGGCACCTGAAAATATGTCCCCAAAGAGGGGTGAGATTACAAATCTCAATAAGCTCCAGGTTTATAGAGAATTCTCCATACCCCTGGCTCACTCCTGCATGAAAGTCAGATACAGAGTATACAAATACAACATATAACAGATATCATAACAGAACAGAGCATATATCCATATCATATCAGAGATGTGCGCCGTCATTCCCAAGGGAGGACCCCAAGCGGAAATCAACGCACGTGTTCCCGAGGGAGGACCCCAAAGCGGAACCAGACATATCAGAGGCGTACACCATCAGTCCCGAGGGAGGACCCCAAAGCGGACATCCGGGTACTATACAATCAATGGCCAGAGATTGTTACAGAAATCATATTACAGAAGTCATATCAGAGCAAAACATATCATGTTATCAAATAACTCTATATGAATGCATCTATACAAAGCATCTAAATCACAGTCATAGAGTCCAACCATAGTTCACTAACCATGGTGGAGCACTCAAGCAGGAAAAGACTCCTTAAACATAGAGCTTACCTCTTGAAGCTTTACCAATACGCTTACTTGTGGAACAAGTTACTTTTATCACTTCAAGAGATTTCCGATCCTTCTCAATTCCTAGGCACACCTAGAGAATAATTTACAATGCATCAATAAAATGATGCAATACCATAAATATTTCATAAGCATACATTTTATCGCTTATTTTCCTTTCTTTGCATTTTTGCCAATCCTATGCCAATACACAAGTCTAGACCCCTTTATAACCGTTGGTGTTCTTTAATTTAATCAACCATTCCCTTAGGAATTTTCAACATAAATCATGCTACTTTTCTTCAAAACTCATCACTTTTATACAATTTATTACTACACATTTTATTTAAAATAAAATGTACAAATATATCCCTAAATACCCTATAGGTCGAATCCTATAAGGGGGATTTCCAAAGATCCATCTCTTTTACAATACATTTTCTTTACTTCCTTACAACTTGCAAACACCTAGGCATGCATCCACTAGGTTCCTATTTTGAGTTTAGACACCAAGTCCTTCACAACACATCAAGGTCGAAACATCAAGGTATGTTTCCAAGGATTTTCTTTCCAATGTAATATTCTTACTAATTCATCCAAATTCTACTTACTTGAACAAATAAAACCCCTCTTAAAGCATCAACTAAATTGGCACAATAAATCCTATTAACTCTATCAAAGGCCGAACATAGAGAGGAAATACATGATTTTTTCTCTAATTTTTTTACATACTTACAAAGCTTCTTTTCATTTCATACATCAAAATATCAACTATTCCTCATCAATGCATATTCTAACACATCATGCTTTCCCACCCAAGGCATATACACAATTTTATAACTTAAATTATCAAAACAACATCATGTAAATAGAGGTTTGTTACCTCCAATCAACTACCCAAAGCCTAGAAGACCTACACCAAGAGAATCTCCATCAAAAACTTCATTTTGCCCTCTTGATGAATAGTGCACGAATTTGGGGAAGGAAATATCTCCTCACACAACCAATGATAGCTCAAATAAATGGGTGGGATGGATTCATTGAGTGGTTTCCAATCAATTTCATGTGGTGGATCATTGGATATTTTCTTTCGACCTTAAACGGAACTAACTCAAAGCTACAAACATATTTTTATTTCCTAAAATCATTTACATTAATTTTTATTTCCTAAGGAACAATATTCATAATTCACAGTATGGTTTTTGCACCGTTTTTGACGAAATGCATGTGCATCACTAATTGTACTTCATTTACTTACGAAACTTAAAACTTATAAACTTATCATTTTCTTGGGCCTATATTGACTTGCTTGGCATATATTGGACTTTCTTATTCTTATTTCATCAATTATTTATTTCTGGACTCTACCGGTTGCTTAAACAGCAGTACAAAATACCCGGTAGAAACACTATTCACGAGATTTTCACGGAAAGTGCCAGACTATACAATTTTTCGTTCTGAACTCATATTTGTCATCAGAATTTTCAAATTATGTTCCTAAAATTATTTTGCTCATTTTAAGCTCTACCGGTTAATTCACAAAACTGTAAATTCTCCGGCAGAACCTAGCTGTTACAAGATGACACATCATGA